AAGGTTTTTACATCTGAACTGAACCTTATACAGTACTGAGCTACATTTTTAGTTAATGGTTTGTTAATAGTATGCATTTTACATTGAAATATAAAAGTGCAACCAGTTAATTTTCTGGACTTGGAATATCTTGGCACAATTGCTGTAACATGCTTGTCGAGAGAGGTCTGGATGCAGACCTGGTGCAGTGCAATCTGAGCTGCATCCAATGCTTTTTAATGCACTCACCGAACCCCACCCTCACAGTGACATCACTAGCTCCATTGAGTCCATTGTGTCCGACATTGCAAGTGTGAGTTATGCAGTTTTAGCTTGCATTATCAAGGCTGCATCCAGTTACTTTTGGGCTTGTTGGCGATACGTCCTATAGTCAAGTCAGGCAGTAAGTTAAAGGTGCAATAGAAGATCTTGGAAAATGCTAATGTTAGCCTGATAGCACTGAAAGCCTATGTTGGACCCTGAAAACTGCCATAAAAAGCCATGCCTCTTCAACGCATGAATGTGTACTAGACAACATTACTATATCACCTAACATTCACCAAAGAGAAAACTTCATAAAACAGTTAAAATCCATATCAATAGACTTAATTTAATAATGGCTACCAGGGTGTGAAGAGACTGGAAACCAGCATAAGAAAAATAGTTTCAATGCGGCATTGTTTCATCATCTTTAAAAACTTTTTTTCTTATGCTGGTTTTTATCCTTAATCTCAACCCAGGCTCATTCTGAAAACGTAGCCCTACACTGAAAAAAATTATTCAAAGATAATTCCTTTTTACTCTATTTTTTTACGTTAAGTGGTTTTAAACACTTTATTTAGGCTGAATTTAAACAAACAAGTTGAACATTATTAAATTTAATTTGTTTGTTTAAATTCAACACAAATAAATTGTTTGCAACAGTTTTGCATGCAGCACTTTTTTCAGTGTATATACATTTCTGGAGAGCGCCAAATACGTCCCAGGAGGAGTTTTTTGCAGTTTTTGTCTTCGCAAATCCACCAAATCCACCCAGGCTGCTGTCTATTTGAAATCTCAAATCTTTCTTGCGAATGCCATTCACGCCTGCTGTTCTCACGTGTATCCATCAGAGGCAGCTATTGACTGACTGACTGAGTGATCGACTGATCCACCCTCCTCCTTTTATGTGTTTTCAAAAGCACTAACTGACCAGCGCTCACCCTCTACCCTAAACCCAACCGACAGTGTCCTTACAGGCAATCCAGAAAAAGAAAAGCCCTCACAGCAGCCAGATTTTTGGCATATATTCCGATTTTACCACATTCTCACTGTGTTTTCACTTGTTTATTTTATTTTTTGACTTTTGTTTTTGTCATACCTGCTTTCTGGAATTGTTCTTCACCGGAGTCAAACCCCGTTGTCACAGTCAACCACACTCCAAGTCACTAGAACAACAGATAACATCAACCATATGGAGGTAATCAGTCAGTTGGTAGCATGGAAAAGAACGACATCATACTGCCCCATTGCATTTGTTTTAAAGAAGAAATGCAGCCATACGTACATCTGGCTGCATAATTCGAGATCTCCAGAAATCTATACAAGTCTACATTTTCAAATTGAGCCTATGTTGTTTAATCCGTTGCCAATCCATTCTAAAATATGAACTCAGCAGCAACTGAATGTTTCCCCACAGACTCATGCAGTGTGAAAACAACTGGCATTGACTCTGAAAACCACGTATTTTGAACTTGGCATAAGACAATAGCTGCATCCCAAATAGAACACTATACACTATGCACTTACGCACTATGTACTTATTCACTTACACACTCAACAGCATAGTTTATGTATGTAGTGTCGTCCCAAATGGAACACTATTTTTTCTCTTTTTTTTTAACTAAGGGGAAATTCAAACTGTTTCCCAGATGACGTTGATGGCTGCCAAATTAGTAAAATAAATGACCAAACTAGAAATGAAACCAGCCATAGTAAAACCACATTTACCACCAGGTGGCATTATAATCACTCTCGTAGGAGAAGTTTGCTTTCACAATCCAAAATAAATAATCCAACATCAGTGCCTGAAAGCGCCACCTCTTCCGCTATGTGAGCAAAGCTGCGGCCATTGAGTGCATGAAGTGTCCAACAGTTCACATTACTGGTTGAATAAGTGTATCATCTGGCTAATTAAAGTGCACTTATTTATTATTTTTTTTTTTAGAGTTTTCAGTGTGAACGTACTACTTCAACTATTTATACTACAAAATGGCGTAGAATAGTGCATAAGTATGCAATTTGGGATGCACCTAGTGTTCACATTTGTTATTAACACGTTATAAAAACACAACGTAAAATGCTGTGCACTGAATGTTTTATTGCAATCAACTGACAATAGCAAAGTGCTTTTTCATAATAGCAATTGCTACAATTGAATAAAATAAGCATAGATATAAAAAAACAAAACAGAATCGAACAGAGTACAACAAATACACAGAAGCATAAAAAAAACATGGCAACCTTTTCAAATATTCAGTGCACCGTTTTGGTTATTTAAAAAAAAAACATAAAAACCACCACTTGAAAAAAAGCAGCACTGGCTGAACTGAACACACACCAACACATTATTTTTTGTCATTTGTTTAGTTTTTCTGCAGCTATACTGCCAGTAAACAGCCATGACATGCAGCCCTCGAAATGCATTTACAACATTGTGAGAACGTTATGATTCAGCTGGGCATGTTGAACTACAAAAAACACTATTAAGAATTCTGAGTAATTCTGTACAGATTGAATGACAGCAGAACCGCAATATCACACTCAATGCCACACTACACATCTCCAGCTTGAGGAAGGCTTAAAAAGTTAGAACGGCTAATTTTCAGTCAAACGAATGGATGAGTTGAATCGGCGAGGCCTTCCACAAGGTGGCGATAGTGAGCATGCCATTGATTTGACATGAGGTCACAACACACAACTTTCAGACATTGATAAAATGTCCCCCTTACGCATCATGCACTGTACAGTTCAACAAACTTTAGTAGATAAAGAGAGCTAAGATTGAATGTCAGATTGGTTGGGAATAGCTTCCCATAGGCCACTGCACATTCAGTAGCCTAATAGTTGCCTAAATGTTCACTGCTATTTCTGCCACATTCTCTCTATTCAGGTTTCTGAAGTTCACATATTCTAACTAGGAGTTGTATGATTCAATAAATAAGACGACCACTGGCTTGGAGTGGATCTAAATTTCATTTACAGAAAAGCTGCTAGGTTGACTGTGGAGATCACTTGAGAGCGGCAGCGACCCAGACGACACGCTGAGAGCGACTGTGAGAACAGAGTGAAAATGACACTGTCGAAAGGTCTCCAATGTTTCTGTGATAAGTGAAACATCCAGTTTGGCGTCGCTGTTACTAGACAACACAACAACAACCATGTTTGGTTTAAAATAAAATAAGCAAAGCTCTACCAAAATCCATTCACGCTACAGCTAAACTTTATATGCTTTCAGTTTGGAGATCCTTGAACGACACAGGATTAATGTAACTGTTAAAACATGGCAGTGTTTTCAAAGTGTTCATAGAGGCCGACAATATTTTTAGAGATATAATCACACTATTAGGTCTTCACAGGTTACAGGTTATGAGACGGTGCATTTAGTTTCCACAATCTATTGTTTAGTTTTTTTCTCAGCTGTAACACAAAGATCGGGCACCATATTTCAAACACAAACCCATAAAGAGAAGAAGAATAACACTTGATGTGACTTTGAATATATAGAAAACAAAAAGTCTAATCCCTTCATAACTCATAAATACATAGTAGCCTGCCAGTTTTACTTTCCTCCTGGAACATTACAGGGCACGTGTGATGATAAAAAGGTCTTGGCAATGAGAATGTCCCTTGAGACAAAAAGTGTCCTGTCAGCCGTCTACCTTCAAGTTTTCCTTCGTTTTTGTTTCATTTTTTTACAAGAAAGTCAAAAACTCTGGAGAGAAAAGCCCTTCATGCCCCCTTTGTTTCAATTCAACCTTGCGTTACTGAAATGTGAGAACACAGAGTTGATTTGTGGGGTCGTTTGTGCAAATATACATTACACAAACAAACACACACACACTCTTGTAGACAAGGAAATAAATGAATCTACTAAACCATGGGTGAAACGGGAGGGTAATTAGACATTGTATTTGAGGGCAGGTAGAAACATCTGAGCAATGAGGAAACCTGTCAGCATCAAGACTGTCTTTTCCAGCCAAATGATATCAGATGTTAAAACACGTCTAATCCTTGAATTTGTGGCTTTTGAAGTTGTACTGGTATTTGGCAGTGACGATGAGCTGGGGTTCGTGTGTATCCTTGGGCAATGAGGGCTCTCTGTATCCATTTAAACGGTTCTGCAGCGCACAAACAAAACCAATATACATCCATTGTCATTATCCAAAGTTACTTATGAGGAAAGATTGTCTTTTTCTTCCTTCATCCATACACCATTGTCTTTAAAATCTTTCATGGTCCGGCAATGACATTCCAGTCTCCTGAATAAAAAACAATCGGCACTAGCAAAATAACAAATAATATGCAATGGCTTCCACCAGACTTCATAGACAGGAGAAAAAAAGCAAAAAGAAAATACTTCTATCCTAGAGGGGGAAGGAGGTTGGCGTCAGTCGGGTAAAACTACATCAAGGCTCACAGATACTGCAACCTTAAAGAAAAGGCTCTCACAAAAAAGCATGAATAAAAAGTAAAATCATATATATAAATATAGTTATAAAAAAGATCAGGAAAAGAAAGCAAAGCAAATGTCTAGGCATCACCATCAGCAGTCACCGGAGTCGTGGACACTTCGACTGAGGAAGGTCTTAGTCAGTCAGTCATATGGACGGATTGACAGGCCAGGCTAGAAGGCCAGATTACTTTCTGGTGGCCTCATCAGGGAGGAGGAGGAGAGAAAATAGAGAGAAAGCGTCTGAGAGAGAAGAGAGTGTAGATGAGCAAGTCTCTAAATGTGAGACAGGGCTGTGTTTGTGTCTCTGTTACTCCACTGAGCCAGGGTGTAGGCTAAGAGCTGGAGGGTCCAGGCAGGTTGGGGAGTAGCTGAGATGGGGCTCTTTTATCCACAGGAGCGGTGCTCCATTCTTGCCCTCCTGGTTCTTGCTGGAGCTCCGGCTCTTGTAACGCACCAGCAGGACCGCGATGAGGAGAATGCCGAAGATGGGGAAGGGGTAAAAGAAGACGAAGTAGAAGAGCGAGTCGTTGGAACAAACCACTGACTGAATTGTAGAGACTAGAGAGGAGAGAAGTGCAATAGAGGGTTAGAGAAATATAACCATGGTAGCATGGTGTGCATTTAAAAGAGTATTGTTTTTCTGTCTGTCCATCTATCCATCCATCCATGCGTCTATCCATTCATGTGTCCATCCATACATGTGTCCATCCATCCACTTACCCTATCTATCTATCTATCTATCTATCTATCTATCTATCTATCTATCTATCTATCTATCTATCTATCTATCTATCTATCTATCTATCTATCTATCTATCTATCTATCTATCTATCTATCTATCTATCTAGCATACTTTAGTGTATGTGAAGATCTGCATATACTGTTGATCAAGATCACATATTTATTGATCAAGAACTCTTTGTACAATGTAATGAAAGGCAAACATCTTAAAGCAGATGATGGTACTACAAAAAAAAGAAATAAAAACTCATTATGTGTGTGTGTGTGTGTGTGTGTGTGTGTGTGTGTGTGTGTGTGTGTGTGTGTGTGTGTGTGTGTGTGTGAGTGTGTGTGTGTGTGTGTGTGTGTGTGTGCACGCAGAGAGTGGTGGTGGTTAAAAATAGGTGGTTATACAGAGATAAACAAAAAACTGAATAAAATAATTAATGAAAGAAATATGCAGAAACAAAAACTGATGCTCAACTCTGCCCTAAATAGAGGGAATGTTCCATCATGTTCTAATAGGCTCTGCTTCAGTTTTTTGTATCATTTCACTTTCGGTCTGAGCCGAGAAATGACTTACAGCATTGTTTCTAATAAGGACAGGTGTAAAAGCAAAACTACACATTGACAACTTGAAAAAATAGTACTTATAAAACCTCACCCTGCTCCATAACATTAACAATGGTGATTCCGGAGTTCTTGGTGGCCAGTTGGTACCATTCGTTGCGTGGGTTAAGCAGCCATTCTCCAACATGACAGTAGTAATTTCCGGCATCTCTGGCCCGAGCTTTCTGGATGGTCAGACTGTACAGGTCTGACGTGGTGCGTTCAAACTGCAGGCGAGAGTTTGGACCAGGCTCCTCCGTGGGACTGCAGTTTCCATTACCAAACACTGCGTCATGCCCGATGGAGAAGACACACTCTTTCTCATCCTCCTCCTCTTGGCCCAAACGATACACGTACCAGGATACAGAGAAGCGGGAGTCTTTTGAGGACTGAGACAGAATGCTGCAGCCTAGCCGAATTGATCCATCTTCAGGTATTGTGATATTGGATTCTGCCTCTTCCACCTGTAACTTCTCTACTGCAAAACAAAACCATAATAAAAAAATCATTAAGTGCATGACAACATTTCTAATCTTCCCCAGAGCCTGAAGCGGCATCTGTTGCAAAACCACAGCTACATTATTTAGAGCAGAATATCCTGGTTTAATTAAAAGAATAATTCATTAAAAATTAAAAATCTGTCATTCTGAAAACAAGAGAGACTTTGTTCAGCTGAACAAATAAGGGGAATGAATTTTGCTACTAAATAAAACATTCAGCTTTTTTGTCAATAGAATAAATTATTATTTTAACACATGTATTTTACAATTTTACAGAATTTCGAATATAGTGTGAGACTCCTTTTCAAAGCACATTTGAATTTAAAAAAGGAAACAAAGCATAACAAATATAAAATATTCGTAATTAAATTAATTACTGCTTCATCAAATCATTTTTATTACAAATAGTCTTGATCCATTTTTACATTCAACAGGCCAATTATTTTTCATGTTATATTGTCTGACAACCTATATTTTGAACAGATTTCAATTTATTTTGACAGGTCCTTCATTATTGTACCACATGAAAAGTGTTGGATTATGCAACAGACATTATACAGCTCTGTTTTTTTATACTGTAGCCAATATGTGGATAAATATTGTCTGCACATATAGATGCTTCTCAGCCTTAAATAAGCCAAAATAATGGTATGAAAAACAAAAAAGTATTACCTCTAACACATGATAATACAGTTAACCACTGATTAAAATGTTACTAAATGTTATTTGTTAAACGGTGACTGAAATGTTCTTATTTTTGTAAAAAAATAAAATAAAATAAATAAATGTAAAAACTATATGATACAAACTAACCTTTTGGCATTGTTATGCTGCTTCTTTTTCTTAAAGAGCTTGACAGCCCCGTTCATCATTTACATTGTTTACAGTATATTATATAAAACAGAATGAACATACATATTGTTGTGAAAAAGAAATATTTTTTAATTATTTTTTTCTTTTTATTAAACAATTGTTTTTGTATTGCTTAAAGGTGATATATTAACTAACTTTCTCTTTAGTATGATATGTCTTGCATAATAACAAAGAGTTTTTGTAGAAGTAGATGAAACTGATAGAAAAGCAAATGCCTGGTTGTCTAAAATTTGCAGATTTGCAAATTGCAGAACTTGAGCTCTGCAGCTAAACTTCCTGTGAGCAGAGACGGGTTGAAACTGAAAACAGAATATGTGCAGTTGAGAAACTCTTATGCTTTTAATGTTGTGCAGAGAATTAGTAGAAAAAGAGAACGTATGTATGGGTGCAGCCAATAGAGGACTGGAGAATGATTATATTCTATTATATTAGAACTGTTAATATCAGCTGCCTATAAAAGTTACAGACAGGAAATGAAAATTGTTGCACACCTCCTGAATGTAATTCTTGCATTGCATTTGGAATATCAAAATTCTAAAAGAACAAATTATTCATTTCTATTCTGTGCTTCTGAATAGTTGTATTTAAATTTCTGTCGGGTTGTCTGGTGCAAACAGCCATATTGCTTATCACTGCATATCTCGTCATGCGTGTCGTTAATACAAGGCATTACAATGAAACCTGCTCACCTAATGTTTCAATTGTTTAATTGTTTCAAATTAATAAGCACTTAATGTGGAACTCTGAAACCATGTCTCATTTTGGAATCTGCTACTGTCCACCGGAGGTAGCATTTTCAGTCACGGACACATACTTTGAGAGCCTTCTCACTGAATGAATGAAATACAAAGTTTTCCACCAAGGCCAATAATATTGGCTAAACTGTTAAAGTGACCAAAACAAAGACAGCGATCTGGCACAGAAAACACATGTTCAAAGCAGGATATCTGATTTGCGCATTGTTTTTCAGATAAACAAGAATGTTCATTTAGCATGTTTTTTTTAAATATTTACGAACATATTATGGTATTTTTTATCAAAAACTTACATACAGCACCTTTGACAACACTTATGCTTATAATGGTTGCCTAAATATATTTCTACGCACTAAAAATAACTTATTGGGTTACACTTTAGGTCACAATTCATGTTATAACCTACTGGCTTATTATCTGCCTATTATTAACTGTTCACTATTAGTTCGCTACTACAGCATCCCTAATCCTACTCAAAATCTAAACCCAGTTCTACCTTACTAACTATTAATAAACAGATAATCGGTAGTTTATTAAGCTAGTAGTGTTAGCTAATGGATTATTAATGCTGTGTTTTGTGACCTAAACTAAAGTGTTTCCAACTTATTTTATGAACGCTAACAGTCTACTACCACTCTAATAATTCATCGAATAGATGCAATGTTACTTACAATCAACAAAATGTCAACAACAACAAAAAAAAAAGGTAACTGAAAAGTTTATACAAATAAAGTAGAAACTTGACTCACATACTCTAACACATCCTAAAACTACATCAGTACCTCAGTAACAAAATACTGCGGGGCATCACGAATCCAGAGATGTGGATCTAGCAGCTCAGTATGTCACTCTCAACTGAAGGTGAGGATCAACACATTTTGCGTGAGAAGTCGCACAATTCTTCAGCAGGCTAAAAATAGTACTGTGTTTTCCAGCAAAAAAAAAAATATATATATATATAAGGGTCTCCTCTTATCTTCTGCTCATGTAGAAGTAGTGCAATTTAACTTTGAAGACGGTGCATTAGGAGGTGCTGAACCTTTCATCAACTATCTATTTGTAAATACATTTTGTATGGATGCTATTTCAGGCAATGGATGCAGCAGGGAGGTGATTTGACACTCACGCTCGCATCCCTAGGGAAATAAGATGGGAATTTTCACAAATGTATTTAGATATATTATCGAGGAATACTGTATATGGTTTGTGTGTATGTGAGAGGAGAAAATAGAAAGAGATATAAAACAAAGAATTCATGAAAAACAGCTCGACTGAGGAGGTGCTGAAGACGATTACACATCTTACACACACACACAAAAAAACACATAAACATGTTCATGATAAAAAAAAAATGATGCATATACAATAAGGGATTCCATGTAAATGTGACATATGCATTATTTATTTATGATAATTGTTTTCATTTTTTTTGACCAGTAAACAGAAACAAGATGCATTTTTACAGGAGCAGATGTCATAGCCACCTGTTCTCATAAAGTAGACTAGAGGACAAACTACACTACGCAACATGTCTGTGTGACAGTGGTAAGTGAACGACACATGTGTGTAGGGCAGTAATGCTGAAAACTGTGTCTGGAAGAAATATGAGAAGTGTGTGTTTTATCGGTCTTATCTGTTCCTTGTTGATTTGATAAAATGCGGTCTTTAAGCTCAGATAGTAAACCTTACTCCTCAACTGAACCATGCTAGACCAGCACTACATCTTCTACTAAGCTTAAAGGGATAGTTCACCCAAAACTGTTATTTTACTCACCCTTGTTCCCTACCTTTATATATTTTTACATTATAAAACAATTGACGATGTTTGAAAAAAAAATTATGGTTACAGGTTTCCAACATTTTTCAAAAAAACGTCTTTCATGTTTAACAGACAGCTTATGCCTAGTTCACACTAAAGGATTTTAAGCCTGATTTAAGCCCGATTTGGAAGTTAACGAGCTCGCCGACAGATCGGGCTGTGATCGGGAAGAAATCTGCGGGTGCTCGGCGCTCGCCGCTCTTTATGTGTGAACTACTGAACAACGCATCAACGAGGCTCGCTGACGCGTCGCCGACACCTCGCAGACGGAAATCCAACATTCAGCATGCTAAATATTCCAGAGCAGTCGGCCGACTCAACCCCACGTGTGGTCAGATGTAGTGACGAGCTGCAGCCAATGAGAGAGCATATCAGCATGAGCTGAATGCCTGTGTGTTCAGGAGCTCAGCAGAAACATCTGTGATTGGTCAGAATGGGCATCGGTGCACTCGCTTCATTCTGCGTTAGCACAGACATGAGAGTAGACAACACTGTTAACCCTTACTATAGATTATGCAGTAAATAACTGTAAAATAGCCAGTGTTTAGCTGTAATGAAAAGAAACAGTATTTTACTGTAAAAGGAGCAGGATTTGTATGAAATTCTGTAGTGCAAAGAATAAATTACAGTAATTTACTCTATGTACCATTACAGATATTTACTGTGATAATAAATGGTAAATTACTGTTCAACCATTACTGCCCCATCTACTCTGATGCTTTATGTTGCTATTTTATATTTATTTTATCTCTGTGTTTTCTTTGGTTCCTTTTATGTTCTTAACATTGAGTATCAGGAGTCAACCAATACCACAGAGCTTATTAAAAGGTAAGTGTAAGATATGGACGAAATGCATTTAAAGGCAAAAATATTCACACAGAGCAAAGAAATTGTCACAATAATTTTTATAACTTTGTTTACTTTTTCTATAATTAATCTTATTTAATTGCCTAGTTTGACCTATAGTTAAGATTTTAAATTGCACTTTCAACTGAATATTAGTATTTTGCTAAATAACTAATAAAAATGTGTTATTTAATATATATATATATCTTAAACAACACGCACATACATTTTTGCAGAGACTCAATGAATTTGTCTGGAAAACTGGCAAGTAAAAGTGCCATTAACAGAATTAAGGCTTTCCTAAATAAATGTATAAATCATGATATTTGTTGTGTTTTTTATTATTACTACAGATTTGGAACGACATGAGAATCAGATTATTTATTTATTTATTTCTATGGATGAAGTTTATATTATAGTATATTTTTATTGTTTTATTAAACGATATGTGCATAACTGTGATAAATGTAGGCAGTTGCTTTGAAAATATGCTATGTATCAGGGGTGTCAAACTCCTGGAAGGCCACAGCCTAGTAGAATTTAGTTCCAGCCCTGCTTCAACAAACTACCTTTAGATTTAGTTTGATCAGGTGTGTTTAATTAGTATAACTGCACTGTTACTCTGTAGATTATGCAGTAAATAACTGTAAAAAACAATGATTTAGGCATCACCACACACTCCCAC